CCCGCACGTTCGTCTCGTGTTCTCCCTGCGGCCCGGTGAGCCCGGCCCCGGCCCGCCCAGGCTGCTCCTGCTGCACATGCTCTGCGCCTGCTACCGCGCCTCCCTCTCCTTACTAGTAATTTCCCCTTCTCTGCTCCCAACCTATTTTGTATTTTTCCTCTCGGTCCGTCCTTTCTTTATCTCTCTTCTTTCACCCTTTTCCTATCTCGCTTTTGTTCTTTACCTCCCGCGCTCAGGTTTAAACTTCACCCCCCCACTCCCTTCCCTCGGCCAGAATGCCAGCCCTGCCTTGGGTGGGGACTTTCTGGCGCATCCGCGATGACCAGGAGAACCTCTCCCTTTCCCGGGGGCTCCAGGCCTTTGTCGGAGCTACTTCCGCTTGGAGGGGCTTTGAGCTGCTTGGACCGGCCGCTGCTGGGCCTGATCCCAGCTCCTCTAACCTCCTGGCAGCCCTGCTCTGGGCCCTGGTGGACTCATCGAGTCTCTCTTGACCCATCATGACACCCCCTGCTCCCCCCCTCCCCCAACACACACACACACACACACACACACACACACTCAATGCCCTCCACTCGGCGTGGCACTCCGCCCAGAGACCGCACAGCCTGTCAGGGCGCAGACCCACAACATGGCAGGCTCGGCTCGCAATCGGGCCTCGGTGGGACCGCAGACCCAGGTTCAACACACTCACAGAGCCAGCACACACACACACACACACACACACACACACACCCTCCCCAGAAATGCAGGGCACCCGCACCAGGCCATGCCCAGGAATGCCCAGCCTCTCGGAACAGGCCCATCGATGGCTACCAGCGCAGATGAGCAGGCAGCTAGGTATTTTGTCCACCAGAGGAAATATCCAATTCTATGTACTGGTCCCTAATGCAGAGGCCTTGGTGTGGCCTCCTCGGACAGCACCGACAAAACACACAGAAGAAACACATTCCTGCAACTCCAGAGGGACCGTCCCCAAGCCTCCTCCCTGGTCTTCAAAAATCCAAAACTCAGGAGGCTGAGGAATCAGCCCTCAGAGCTCCTTTCTGAAACAAGGTGAGACACGACAAATTAAAACCAAAGAAGTCGCATCACAGAGCTAGTCTTAAAGAGAAAAAAAAAAAAAAAGAATCAGAACAACTTTGGAATCACAGAGGCAGAGATGTAAAGCCAGCAGAGTGGGACACAAAGAGAAAACAGGCCCACCCCCGTCTCGGGGAGGTTCGGGGAAGAACCCCACCCCTGCCATCAGGTCACAATGGCTGGAGCTCTTAAGGGTCCCAGGGGCCCTGAGCAGGAGGAGTGGAGGAAGTCCAAGGAAAGATGGTGAGTGTGAGGGCGAAGGGGCCATAGCCTCCTTCCTTATAGCTCCTGGCTGCTCCCTGCTCCCTCCTCCCCTAGCACTTGCCAGCTGTCCTAGAGAAGGAACAAATGACATTCACCGTGGTGTACCCAGATGTCCCTGGAACCTGTGACATCACATAAACACATAGCGTCAGAGGCCACCTCCTCTTCCTCATACCAGCAGAGCATCGCTGGCTCTTCCTTTTCTCCTCCCAGGAACAACTTACCCAGAGAAACAGTGCTCCAGGACTACCCACTCCCTACTTCCTGCCGTATTACCACACTGCACTGCCTCATCCATCTTTCAGGCCCTTTCTCGCTCCCAAGTTCCTCAGCAAGACAGCCTGCCCCTCTACAGTCCACGGGGTCCTAGACCCCAGCCTGACATTTGTCCTGTCTCAGGTCCCCTGGACTATGGCTGCCCTAATGCCTGAGCTCTTTTCTCCCTAACAAGCTGGCACTCACCCCTACTTCAACCTGCCAACTTCACCCAGTCATCATGGCTGGCCCTCCACTCCGCCCAGCCTCCCCCGGCACCTGTACTGCCACCCACGAGTCTGCCTGTGGCCCGGCTGGGCCCCTTCTCCCAGGCGTCTTACCAGATTTCCCACTTATCCTTGCTGGAGCGGCTCATCTGTTGATGCCTCTTCCACCTCCCCTTTGCCTGGCCCCTGCCTGTACGCCCTCACTCAGGTGATGCCTGCTGGCAACGCTGTCCTCGTTCACAGAAGTTTTTCCATCATCTGCTCTGTTCTCCTCGCCCTCTGTCTCGAGAGCCAGGGTCTCAGTCACGAGGACCGGTATTGCCTAGTGGGCAGCTCCGTGGGACTCATCCTCATTGTGGGACCTGGACTAGGGATACTACCGAGGGGACGAAGGGCCTCTGCATGGCTCTGAGCTGTGTGTTCGCTTTTCTGGGCGGCCTGGCACTATCGCTGGAGCTTCCCCTCCTGCCTACCAACAGTGCCTTCCTGTTTGGCTTGATGGACCTGGTGGGCTGTGTACCAGGCCTTTCTCCTTTCCCCTGCTGCCCATTGATCCTCTCCTCTGAGTTGGAGCTGTGTGAGGGCGGTGGTGATCTTTGCTCTGGTCTCCTTTGTGTGAGCTATTCGGTCACCAAGGTCCACCCTGCCCTGGTGTGCACTATCCTGCACTCTGAGTCAGTCCACTCCCTGAGGTGGTGGTGGCCCCCGCGATGCTGCAGTATTAGGTGCTCTATGAGACTGTGGCACCTTTTCTTTTCTTTTCTATTTATTTATTATTTTTAAAAATGTTTTTATTGATTTCAGAGAGAGGAAGGGAAAGGAAGAGACAGACACATCAATGATGAGAGAGAATCATCAATAGGCCACCTCCCGCACACCCCCTACTGGGGACCGCAGCTGAAACCTGGGCATGTGCCCTGCCCAGGAATTGAACTATGCCTGGTTCATAGGTTGATGCTCAACCACTGAGCCACACCCACTGGCTGGGCTATTTTATTTGTTTATTTATTTATTGTTGGTAATCTTCTCCTAA